GCGTCCTGGGGAGCAGACAATGCGTTGATAACAGAGGACAACCCCCCCCCTCTTTCCCTCTCCTTCCCCCTACCATATCCCTCCCCCCCCCAGCCCCCGTTGTTCCAGCCGAACTATCAGACCCGTTGTAAGCGAAGGAATTTTGACCCTTATGTTGCATACAATGCCTGCCTCATGGGCTTCGAAGCGCTGATGGATAGATTCGGAGTCTGAGTTTGTAACACGTCTGGCGCGCAGTAACATTTACATTTTGAAATATACTCTGTAACAGATGTACATTCGGGGAGGCGAAACGAACCGGTTTTGTGCCATATATTGTGGATTCGGATGGTGTAGAGGGTTGAGGGGGAGGGGGGAGGGGGGATGTGTATATACACTTGCGTATTGTCTTCCCTACTGTTTGGGATGCCTCGTCTCTGTTTGTCTGTCCTTTTTTTGTGATCGATTTTATTTTCCACATATATACTGTTGTTGTTTTTTGGGGGGTGGGGGTAGGGAGTAGGGGGGATGAGAGGAGAGGAGGTGACCCCTTTTTTCATTTGTGTCCCCGTCTGAACTGTTTTTTGTATTTCCTTTTTCATGTCTTTCTTTCTTTCTGTAACTTTCTCTTTCTTTTCTGTATGTATATATTTTTTTCTTTCTTGTCTCTCTTTATTCCATACTCTCTTTCTATTTATTTTTCGCTCTCTCCCTCTTCATCCCCCTCTCCCTCTCCCTTTCCCTTTCCCTTTCCCTTTCTTTCTCCCTCTCCCTTTTCCTTTCCCTCTCCCTCTCCCTCTCCCTCTCCCTCTCCTTCTCCCTCTCCCTCTCCCTCTCCCTCTCCCTCTCCCTCTCCCTCTCCCTCTCCCTCTCCCTCTCCTCTCCCTCTCCTTCTTCCCTTTCCCTCTCCTTCATATTTCCTCGCTTCTCTCTCTCTCTCTCTCTCTCTCTCTCTCTCTCTCTCTCTCTCTCTCTCTCTCTCTCTCTCTCTCTCTCTCTCTCTCTCTCTCTCCCTCTCTCTCTCTCTGCACTATATCTTTTGTCAAAGAGTTTGGCAACTGACGGTACTAAAAGTCGAGTTACAGTGTGCACCACAGAGGGAGGGAGAGTTTACATTGCTTTCCCCTTCTGTTATAACAATGACAGGACCGTGTGAGTATGTGCGTTTGGTTGAAGTGTTTGTGTGTGTGCACTGTGCTTTTGTGTGTGCGTCTATCTGTGTGTGTGTCTTCATTTAAACAGGTCACTACCACCATTGCATGTTACTCATTACCACATTCGTAAACAAAGAACAAAAGGAAATAGAGACAGAAAAACAAAATCACTGGGAAAAGGAAAGAGAGGGGGGGAAAAAAGGCACACAGGAACATATATTTTTAGGTTTGTTTCTTTTTTACATCAGCGGCTCAGCACGCCCGGGCACTAAAGGGTAAACAAAATTTGGTTCTGCGCCCGAGCGTTGTAGTCTATAAAAATAAATAAATATCCATGAGTATAGTCCTTCAAGAAAGTGATGAGATCAGAGCAGCTTGCCGAACAACGCCCCTTCAGCACTATCGTAGACGCTACGCCACTACAACACTGTCTGCCCCTCCCCCCTCTCCCCTCTCTCCCTGAGCCTCCTCCCTTTTTCCCCCTTCCCCCCTCCCCCCCACTTCCTCAGCCCACCTCCTCCTTCTCCCCTGTCTCCTTCCTCCATTTTCCTCTCCTTTCTTCTCCCTTTCCCTTATATTTTGTATCTCATTTCATCTTCTTATATTTTCCTTCTACTCTTCTTCTTTTCCTATCCTTCTGCCCTTTCCCCTTCCTCCATTCTCTCCTTTCTTCTCCCTCTCCTTCCATACTCTTCTTTGACCCTCTTCCCTACAACTCCCTTCTCCTTCTTCTCCCTTCCCTATCCATTCCCCTTTCCCTGCCTCCTCCTCCACCTCCCCTGCCTCCTCCCCCCCTTTCCCTACCTCCTCCTTCCTCTTCCCCTGCTTCCTCCTCCCCCGCTTCCTCCTTCTCCCCCTTCCCCTGCTTCCTCCTCCTCCTCTTCCCTCTTCCCCTGCTTCCTCCTTCCTCTTCCCCTGCCTCCTCCTCCCCCTTCCCCCGCTTCCTCCTCCTCCCCCTTTCCCTGCCTCCTCCTCCACCTCCTCCTGCCTCCTCCTCCACTTCCTCCTGCGTCCTCCTCCCCCTTCCCCTGCTTCATCCTCCTTTCCCTGTCTCCTCCTCCTTCCTCTTCCCCCGCTTCCTCCTCCTCCTTCCTCCTTCCCCTGCTTCCTCCTCCTCCTTCCTCCTTCCCCTGCTTCCTCTTCCTCCTTCCTCATCCTCAGTCCCCGCCCCCTTTCCCACCTTCCCTCTTGTGACGACGTTGACTAAAACTTTCCTCATTCGGTGTAACATTCAATTCAATAAATATAGTCTCCCGCAGAGTGCATGGAGGCCGCTTTCCCCGGCGCCCTTGGAGGTAGTAGGGAAGAGAGAGAGAGAGAGAGAGAGAGAGAGAGAGAAAGAGAGAGAAAGTAAAAGAAAAAAAAAAAAAAAATGCCTTTTCCCTGTGGCTACTTACACAGAGTGCTTCGTACGCCTGGCAGTGCGGCGT